TGTAATTCTAAGTGGAGAGATTGTGATAGCCTATTGTAGTATGAATAAGGCATTGAAGATTATTTCTAATTCTGTTACGAAGTAGTTATCAAATACATTTAGAAAAAAAGAATTAAAAGCCCCGAACAGCAATATCAAAAATTATTTAAATAGTTCTGCTCTTATACATTCGCCAGATTGTTTTACAACTTACTGATATTAATAAATATTATTTTAATTAATGATGAAGAGTTGGTGTTAAAAAATCAGTACAAACAGGAACGTGTCATTTTAAGTAGAGTTGAATGATCGCTAGCAATGGAATCTACAATGAACGTTTCGTTCTATTCAGTATTAACCAGTTGAATGTACCTGATATTTAAAGCGAGTCCCGTAGTAAATGTCATCATTGGAATTCAAATACATTCAGCTGACGAGTCTCAACTAGGACGTAAAGTGCAACCTAGATTCTACTGCTAGACACTGTCGATCTCTGCGAATACTGCTGGTAGTTTATTAGTAATATCAAGGCAATCCTCACAGAATGCATGGCGGACAAAAGGGACTGATTGATTACAATCCTAAACATCAATAGGAAAATTCCAAACAGCTAATACAAACGAATAATTATGTGATGTTGACGAAATGGTGACTGTCAACAAGACTAAGGTTGCTGACTCATCAATGTTACTACTACCACTACTAATATTACTACTCTCAATTGTAATTCATTTCATATTGAAAGGAAAAGGGACGCCGTTTATCTTAAGATGGTAGTATAAAACATAATTTCATAGTAACATTCAGGGTCAAAGTGTATAGTGTAGCGGCGAGGTTAAAAATACCGCAATAAACAATCATGATAATGTTGATTCTTTTGTTATACACCATTTGTTTGGAAAGAATTGAGCATTCGATATATATTCAAATTATCTGTACCTGAAAAGATCGTAAATATCATATAGAATTCATACGATGGACTACACTGCAAAGTCGTGAATGGAGTACAGCTGACAGATGCATTCCCAGTGAGGACCGGAGTCAGATAAGGCTGGTTACTCTCTCTCTCTTCCTCTTTCTTCTGGTGGTCGATTGGATTATGAAGACTTCGAAATCTGAGGGGAAACACAGAATACAATGAACAGCCCACAATCAATCAATGCAGATGAGGAAAACCAGTGTAGCAGCAGCTTCTACATCAGTAGGCCTCAACATACACAAACGAAAAAGGGAAATACCCAAATACAACACGGAGAACACCAACCCATTCACACCTGATGGCGAAACTCCAGAAGATGTGGAAACTTTCATATACCTGGGAAGCACCATAGATGAACAAAGGAGGATCGGATGCAGACGTAAAGGCGAGGTTCGGCAAAGCAAGGGCAGCATTCGTACAATTGAAGAATATATGGAACTGAAGACACTTGCCAACCGACATCAAGGTCAGAATCGTCCGTGTGAACGTCAAAACAGTTCTACTGTATGGGATATTTTACAAAGGCCAAAATATGGTATGTAAGATATTATAATTATGGACTTATAACTGTAGAGTTTGATGATGAAGTTATTGAAAATAGTTGTTCGCTCGAATATCCTCTTCATTTTTAAAGTGTAAATCTAAATTAATTATTAACTAATTACAAATAACTTAGATAATAACACACAAAACTTATCGGAACTATTATATTTTTATTGTCCATTTACATCGTATGTACTTTTATTGTATACGTTAGGTCAAATGTCCGATGATTTTTTTTATTTTTAAACAAGGAATTATTTTGTTAGAAAATTTCATTTTGTAAATTCATTAGAAATCTGTATTGATAATAAAACACTAATAAGTATCCTTGTGATAAGAGTTACTAAGTAAATATTTTTACGTTACAAAACTACAACTATTAAAAATTTGGAAACACTAGACAACTATTTTGTTTTAGTATTTATCAGACTCTTCATCAGTACTCATTGACAACCACACATAGGATTGAATTCAATATATTAAGGTGTTTAGGCAAGCACGATGCTAAATACTGGGAAAACTTGAATGGAAACACTTTATTTATTATTTTGATACCTTCGTCTTTTAGTATCCTTTAACAACATAAAGTTGGAGGCAATTGCATTGGAACTCATTCACTTATTATTGTGATCCATTAAGAAATACGTTTTATCATCTGAATTTTCTCATTTAAATAATAAATAGTTGACATTGACTATTGGAAAATCTTTACGAAATAATATTTTTAATTAATTGCAATTCGAATGTGTGTTTAGGAGAAACTTGTTGAAGTATTGAATAATAGTTTCTAAGAATTCTCTCAAAAGCGATTACAAATTTCTTAAATTTTGTTAGCAGAGTTAAAATCTTACCAGATATGTTAACTTGAAATTTCTTTTTTCTAATTTAATTTTCTGTGTGATTTTCACATTGTCATTGTCTTTAACTCTTTAGATTTCTGTATGTTTCAGTATATTTTCGACAATATTTATACGAAGTTGTACTATTTCGTTTTGTTCCGCTTGTTCTACCTAAAATATCAAGTTTTCCTACTGTTCATATTCTTTGTATGCTAACCATTTGGTGTTAATATGTTGTGTGTTAGTTCCTGTTATCGATTTTCACAATAGAACTTATAGTATTAGGGTAGTTAAATCATTCCTAATCAAGCAATTATTGTAGATAATAAGTGTGCCACTGTTATACCTACAGAATCTCTAACTGACTTGGGCGTATTACTGAAAATGTTCAATCTGACGATGTGCAATGAAAACATAATGACTGCTAATATGGATTCATTTGACTCTGGAAATAAATCAAAATGAAATACGAATACACCACTAATTAGATGATTTATCAGACTTGTGTAGTCTTAACTTAGTAGTATTTAATAACAATGAATCAATTAATTACTTTGTGAATATATATTACAATATTATGCAATTAAGCATATATAACTAACAGATATAATTAACTAATTAAGTTATATAATTACTTTTTTACAGGATGTCACAGACAATTAGAAAACAAATCGATTTCATATGTTACTTGCACTTCATTAGATTAAGTCCTTGTTTGGCATATTCATAAGTTTGTATTGACCTTCAAATACTAAGATTTAACAATTCTTTGCTGTAAGAGAATTGATAGTATCAAATAAAAGTATCATTATTATTTGACCTCTTAATTAACATATTATGAATCTCCATCATTTCCACCAAAACAACTCATATAAGTGGATAAGATTATATATATATATGAAAAATGTCAAACCGATAAAGACAGTTACCAGCTAAGTGATAACAATGAAATGGTTTACACCAACAAATGAGCAACGAAATAAAAATTCATAGTGATATAACAAGCGGACTGGTAGTAATATAAATGATAACAGCTTGAATCGATGCTCCAATATAGGAAGTAGATCAAAACACTAAAATAATAATCATTAAAAGTAATTAGAATTTTGTTATATGGACTTTTGAAATAATTTTGGTTAGTGAAGAATGTGTGTGAAAAGGAGTGAAGAAAAATAAACTAACAAACGATAAGCAAAATAATAATATGGATAATTAATATATTATTGATAATTAATTAAACTATATGTTAGGCCTTATGAATCTAAAGGTAACAGATATGAAAAGTTTCTTTTGAACATTTAGATTAGGGTTGGAGATTCAAATTTCTACATTTGTTGTTATACTGATATAGAAGACGAGATTAGACCCAGTTAGGAAATGACGAAGGTTTTCGGTAGATTACCATTTTCAACCATGTGTGATAAAACGGAACTATGTATCATCGTTGTCCAACCCTTTCCAAACCACGCAGGGGTTTTTTTTACTCATTCGTTGACCAATCTTGTGTTATGCTTTATTTAGATTATTCTACAACATCGAATGAATCCATGTTTACGTAAATGTTAGTATATATTAAAGTATTTAATATTTAGTTAAGACAATATTGTTTGTTCATAATTAACAATCAGATAATCTTCTAATCATACAATAAGATCATATCAGTGTGACTGTTTCAGTAATGTAAACTATAAAATTCATCAATCGCCATAAACCACTTATATTAATAAAGTTCATACCGCGATCATCTCAGCCATGGGAAACGCGAAACAGTTACTCTCAACAGTTACTTGTCGAAGTTAGAGATTTAATTTATTGGATACTTGCTCACTTGTTTACAGGATAAGGTAAAACCGCCCGAACTGAAGGTCCTCGGTTCTATCTACGAATGGATCGTGAATAAAAATTGGTTAAATATTTTTACGAATTTCGTATAAATGACTGACATACTTGCCGATATTTTAGGAGGAACAATGTTAGTCTGTAAAAATAAACAAAATTGTAGTCTAGGGATTGATTATTCTCGCTTAGTTTTGGTTTCTACTTCATGCTAAACTTAGACATCATATCAGTGGAACGTTTGACTAAACTAATTTATTTATTATTTATTTATTTGAACACATAAATATTGGTACAAGGGGGCACCAAATATATATGCGCCACTAAACTAATTAAACCTCTTATCTACGTTATTCCTTTAAAATTAAACTGCTCAAGTGACATGATAATCCAAATAATCCCAAATGAAGAAGGGTATGCATTTAAAGCACAAAACAATTACATTATACTACATTCTATTGAATTATATTGTGTTTTACTCTCATTTCCCTAAAAAAAAAACATTGGAACATAATGATTAAGAATTAAGAGTTACACACACAATTGGAACCTTACTCTATTTATATTGATTGTTGGAACATACGGTAGTAGAACTCATGAATACACACACTCACAAAATGCTAAAAGTGACTCTTATGAATAAACAAACAAATTAGTAGTTACATGATTACTGTGCTGCTTTATTACTATTATTAATATGATGATTACTTAATAGTAGCATATTTTCTTCTTGTCAGTAGAATACACAAAATGAATTTCGAACAATAATATTTTCAGATAATAATCAAGCATCTTTTTTTTCATGTTGTGTTTTACCTTCACAGGAGTTTCATGAACAATCTGGCAACCTATATAAAACTTTCAAAAATTGAACAACCACGTCAAAGTGTCATGGTAAGTAATATGATTATTATGAATGGCTTTACTCCATTTTATATTATTGAAACAGAAAAGAATTCTCAGTAAAAAATATTTCAACGAGTTTCCACTTCTTATTTCTTGATCGATCCTGACGATAAATATTGTGTGATTAGCAGTTAGATGTTAGCAGTTCAAGAATTGACCTCTGAATAACATATATTCTTTTCGATGAATATAGCCAGCCATCACTATATCTCTGATTGTACGTTTTTGTCAATTTTACAGTGACAGGTCGTAAACTGTTCATGAACGCTCCTGAAATATGTTGTACAATCAATAGACATAATGATGTGTTAAAACAAACAGAAGAACAGATAACTTATTGAAATATTTAGTTAGGAGGAACAGATAACTCAGATATTCAAGCAGGCTTCCAAGTGATATCAAGTAGTATATTATTAAATAATATTCATACTTTTAAACATATCACCATTCGATTTAATATTCACACTAATTGATCACTATGTAAATGGTATTGAAAATTTTGTGTGTGTCCAATCGCTTTTTTGATGTTAACTGAATCTAATCGAGACAAAGTTGCATCAAAACAAATCAAATGTGATGTCAATTAGGCTTTAATTAATGGGTTAACTGACTTTCCTAAATTGTTCAATGGTAATGTTTCAAACTTCGCTATTTTGTTTAATATCGATTCAAATCTCACCGTGAGCTGCAATTCCCTTTAGTTTGTAATTACACCTTGTTTTATGTGTACATAATGCTAATAAATCATGAAACCTGATTAGTTCAGATATTCACCGCTATCACCTTGAACAGTAATCTAATAATGTTGATTACTAGTATAGGGGTTGTGGAGGTTATTAAGTTTTTGATTGAGATCATGAACCGATTGATATTAGACCACCTTTAGAAACCTGGAAGCACTGGACGGCCGTTTCGTTCTATTGTGGCACTCCCCAGCAGTGCACACCCACGATCCCTCTCACGGGATTCGAACCCAGGGCCTTCGGTCTCGCGCGTGAACGCCTAACGTACTGGACTACTGAACCGGCATCCAATGGTGATATTGTCTAACATCAACCAATCCGCGAGATTGCTCAACCAACTTTCATTGCACTGAGGTAGATACCTGTCTCTACCCGACATGCATTAGCTCCACTAATCACGGCTTCTCACCAGAACTCCGAGAATTCCCTCATGAAGCTAGTCACTAGTGAGCACATGTTGATTACTAGTAGTGAATTGCCCTTTTTTCATGAAACAAATGTTGAAGAAAATAACTAAATGACTACTTAGTTCAAAAATTAAGCCGTTATTTTTATTCCAGACTTTGTTTTTTCTTGATAAGATTGTCAAGAAATATTCAAGTTCCAACTCAGTATTGTAAGATTTTGTATTTAAGTTAAAGTTTTTATTGTTAAATGAGTTACATAACAGTGATTCAATTGATCCGCAGGTATTTGCATAGATCAATTAGAAATGATTTAGAATGTAAAATATTTTGGTTTTTGGTTTTCAGAAGTTTATTATTAGGCTATGAAATCCTATCTTGATATTCAAACTGTATTATGTAAATCGTCTTGAGTATGATTGTTACACAATTATTGTTGTGACCACTGTTCTACTAGTTATATGTGATACTAGGAACTATTACAGTTTTGACTAGTAAAAACACTAAGTTCAGTGAATGGATCACATTTCAACGTACCTATTATCAAGCTGCACAATCGTATATATATATATATATAGCTTGATAATAGGTTCGTTTAGGAAAAAGCTTTCGCTGACATTCGTGTTTTAAATGTTTAAATGGGGATTTTACGATTAAAAAATATAGGATCACAAGAACTAGTGCACATATAGATTTTACTAACCCTTTAAAACACGTTGTGTTCGACCAAAAATATACCTATTTATATAAATGTATTTTTATATACGCTTGATGCTGAGTTAAAAATATCACATAGAATGAAAATACCCTGAGACACTGTAAACACATGCTGAATCGCTATGAAGAATATAAATGTTACACTGAACAAAATTCATACTAAATTAATCCAAGAAATATCGACCTTTCCATGATGTCTTATTAGTTACTGGTACGATAGTACATAACATTAAATAGAAATGGTCAATTTAAATGTATGTATTAAATTTGTCGACTCTGTACATTTATTATTATTCTAGTTTAAGTGTCTATAACTTGTGGATATATTTTCTCAAAAGAAGCACATAATACCTTGATGAACCTGTTAATCTCCGTTGATTTAGATGGCTAGGATATGTATTACATATAACAAACGACGGACTACTTTAATGATCTCTGTTAGCTGGATTGAAAGTGCGTTGTATGGAGCTACGGCTTTTGAAACCCACAAGTAGTGTCGATTCATGAAGTCACTAACTATCGATATGGATTATGTTAAGCAGTTGAAGTCCTCGCTATAATTGTGATTGTTTAGTTGAAATTTAGAAATGATTTGACACTCAAAATCGATTGCAATAACTCAAATGCTTTGGTTTTGTATGTTCTCTTTAGTTTTCGACTTTTAAAATTGCTTCATACGTTTATCTTACAATTTCATTACTTCGTTTAGAACCAGTATTATCAATGTCCACTCATGCCAATTTCAATACATCTTAATGTTTTCATCTCATCGTATTAATGTAGTGTAACAACTATCAGTATACATTTGTGTCAGATCCTACATTAATTCTAAGTAGCTGATCGACTGAACAACAGCATAATTAATAATTTAAAGTTATTAGACATTTATTTCTTTATTTAATGCACCATGAAAATGAAAGTAGTAAAAAAAACACTTCAGTCATTGATACAATAACTGACATAATAATATTGTAATTGGGATGAAATTATTTGATCCACTGATTTAATCAGCTAATAACCCATCATCATCAGTCAGATATAAAAGATATAATTTACATCACAGGCTGATTTTAGGTATACAAGCATTACAGAATAAGAAGTTCTGAACAGTAATTACCTATGGATTTCAATCATATTGAGTGTGAGGCAGTTACGCATTAGTGACACTGGTATATGATTGGGGAATATGTTTACAGTTGATTGAAGTTAAACATGTGGACGATTAGATACTGGCTTTGTGATCCAAAGATTGTGTACTCGCTTTAACATTTGATGGTCCTTGGTTCAACCCCGGGTAGAGTTGTATTTTTTCTACACTTATGTGAAGTCCCATGCTTGAATAAAACAACTTTCCATGCCTTCCTTATTTTTAGTAGTTATCTAGTTAAGACCAGCCTAAAATGTAAACTTTGAAATTCAACAATCTCCTCAAAACGGTAAAGCAGCACATTTTAAAGGTATGTCATCCGTCCAACTTGCCACAATAAATTATCAATGGTGAAACTAAATCTAGAGAAAACATGTTTAATAAAGGAGAAGTTTCAAAAACTCATAAGTTACTCTAGCCGCATTCATTGTTAGTGTATAAAAAACAATTTGCTGAAAATATGGTTTACTGTTTCTTCATGTATAGTTTTTCAACTGGTTATCATTTCAACATCAAGGTGTCCCCTTCCAAATATATATATATATATATATATATATATATATATATATATATGGCAATGAAATTGTATATTTTTTACTAAAGAACATCCCCTACAACAAAAAGCGTACACTTAAAGAAATAATAACGATATGATTAATAATGGTGATGAATGATGCATTATGCTTTGGGTGCATTGTGAAATTTGTTTGTTGATGTAGAGTTCAGTATTTGAGGAGTTATGAATCCATATAACAGATTGTTGTGGAGACTGTTGAACTTGGAGTTTCACACCATGAATTGGCTTTGGTTACACCACTATTGAAAACAAGAAACCACTAGACATCTGTTTCATCGTAGTTGGAGACTCTTCAACATTGTGCACGTACGACCCCACTAATAGTCAAATGTAAGACCTCTGGGTTATGTGACGCGCACTTAAGCCTTAGACTAATGAGTTGTCATTTATTGATTTTCATTTCTAACTTCAGTTGACTCACGATATTGCGCAATCATTATATTTGCCTCACACACGGTTGAACTCCATTGGTCATGGCTTCTTATTGGAACTCCAGGAATAAGTAACCCTAGAAATTAATCATAATGACTGTTATAATGTTATTATTACTAACCAAAATCAACCTGTGATATCGAAATTCAGTTATATGGATTCATTTGAATGTATTAGTGTCCAGTCATTGGAACTCAGGTTCGAATCCCGCTTCACTTGCGTTCTTTTGGGTAGCCAGGTATTATCACTGGCCCGTACCCATACGTAATGTTACTTTGTCTGTTAATATAAATCTGTACTTGGAAAACTAGTTATTCATTGTTAAGATCACAATAGAACTGTAAACTTATAATCGATTACTTTCTATAAACTTCAAGTGATTTACATAATAACCAACAAAATCGTAGAACAGATGCTTAATATTGGCTTATTATTTCGGCTTCACTCACAAACAACACATTCATCTTTTTTCATAGTTGTCCTTACATATGATTGTTCATATAGTAAACATTCTTTGATGGTAGCTTTTTGACTTGTCACACCTTTACGTAACTTAGCACTAGCAAAATGAAAAGGATGACAAGTTAGTTATTTTATAATGTTAGTGATTATTATGGTTGTTATCATAAGTTAATAAGCATTTACATGTTGCAACTTTAAAAGTACATTGAGAAATATTTTCATGTCTGTATTTGGTTCACAACATAATAATACTAACTATCAGGAAGTAAATATCAGATGACTATTACATAGTTTACTGAAACCTTGCTGTACTGCCAGCATGTTTATTACTTATCTAAGTTCAATTTGATTCCAACTTTTCAAGCAAAAATTATTCTTGAAATTGTAAATATTGCGTTTTAGCACAATCACTTATGTAATCAAGAATTACAATGGAAATTCGGGTAATCAGAATACCATGGTACTAGTAATATTACTATGTACTTATTTATATATATATCTTATGTGTATACTTTACAGTCATCTGAAGTAAGTTTATTTTCGACTTTTGATTGTTGTGTTGCAATTTGATATTTGTTTATTTTACATGTCTCGGTATGTTTAAGATGTACGATTGAGTTCATTCATTCATCTATCTATCTATCTATCCACAAATCTATCTATCTAATCATTGTTTGTATGTGTACATCTGTTGTTTTATCATGGTGAATAGGCATGCATTACACTGCACTTCTACTATTACTATCAGGTCATTGTTCGTCAGATATGCAATTTTATTCTGATGTCTCTCACTGTAAATATCTATATTTACTTGTATAAATATACCTATACTTAGATTTTAATTGTTTCATTAAATGTTAACCACAGGCATTATATAAACTGTTTCTGAATTTAATTTATTCACTAAAGAGCTCTAAAAAGTTGGCTAGTATGAATATTCCCATTGGCTAATAAAGTTTACACATTATTTATGAATGTCATTATTATTAGAATTAGTATTAGTAGTATCATTATCCTGTCCTGTTGAGCTTTACCATAACACATCACATATTTGGTGTATAAAATGTAACCCCCAATTTCTCCACCTCCTTCTTGTTAATAACTCACTATGTCATGGTGATGCATGAATCATCATTTTCCTATTTTTGCACAATTTCACTAACATGACCTCATTTCATTCGCGTATATCTCATATTATTGGCATATATATTGTCAACAAAATCTCACCTTTTATCATATAGAGGTTATTTTAAATTTTTTCCCATACTAATTCATATGTTAGCGTTGGAAGGATTGATTGGTTATTAGCTTAGTTTATTTGTTTGAACAGTACTCGTCCATTATTAGTCTGGACGTTTTGTCCAAATCTTCTTTCCTTTTTCTTGGACATAAAACACGTTTTTTTTGTCCAGTTTGTTACACTGTATTTTGTTGCATGTCATTGTTTTCTGAACAGTATTATCACTAAGTTTATTATAGTCAACAGATAAATATTTGGATTATTAACCCGTAAATATTTATAATCCCTCCATAACTCTTAGTGACCAATAAGATTCATGAGTAAATGTTGGGATTTGTCATTTTCATTATTTAGGTAAACTATTATGGATGGCTTAACTCGTTTCTGCTTTTTCTGTTGTGTTGTTTCATTATGTCTTTGAAGTTCCTATCTTCTCCGCCTGGAGTCCCTATGGGGGCTACTGCCGGTCCCAAGCCCGGATAAAGGAGGAGGGTTGGGCATGGAGTTAACGTCCCCATCCCATAGAAAACTAACTCGCTAAAAAATGTGTAAAGTGTTTAAAGTCGACGCTGTTTTTTTTTATCAACGAAAACAATAGAATAGTCGTAAAGATAAAACTTGAATATTCTGTTTAAAAAAAATATTGAATATATTCTTGATTTACTTACTAAATAAACACAAACTGTATATGATACAACATGCTTTTGTTGGATAACCTCAATAGGGATAAATAGATGGGCTTATAACAAAAACACTTTTGTATTCGAATGACAAACATTATTTTTTATGTAATGTAATTGTGAGAAATTATCTTCTAACAAATTTCATGAACATAAACCTGTTATCATACATTGGCAGTTGTTTTTTGTATAAAATATAATTGAAAAATAAAAATCAGTTAGCAACTAGTTAGAACTGTCGAGTCGATTTTTGGGAGATTGGCTAAGTTTATAGGTTATATTTACTACAGATTATCATTAGAAACCAAAGAGTACTAAATAGCTGTTTAGTCCTAGAATGGGACTACCTAAACGTGGGGAGCCAAGACTCTGTTAGCAATCAGATCAAGGGCCTCTAGGTCTCGCGGTGAGTGTTTTACCACTAAAACTATTCCTAAACCGTCTCATACAAGGGTGGATCAGCTGTCCACTCCTATCTAGTTTGAATCGGTATGGAAATCAATCCGTGATGACAACTTACTAATTAGACATGTGATCAATAGTAATCACGAATTTTAAATCCTGTATTTGTTCCTAAGCGTTTCGACTGCATTACACTGAATGATTGATTAATCAATATAATAAGATATGTTACAGGTAAATTCGAATACATAAGTAAATATTACTTTACAACGATGTTAATACCTTTAAAAATGCATAATGATATATATTTTATGATCACAGATTGATCTCAGTTTGGCTACCAATTCAAGCTAGGTAGGAATGGACAGCTGTCCCACTCTTGTATGAGACGCTTTAGGAATAGTTTTAATGGTAAAACATTCGCCGCGAGACACAGAGGTCCTTGATCTGATTATGCATGAGTACAATCGTGTTGAAAAAAAACTGACAAAACTTGAAAAATAGCTAATTGATTAACAAACATTAGGCTGAAACGAACTCCTAGTAAGTAAAAACACTTAACTTTCATGGGTTTAAACTGTTGTAATCCCCCGAAATTTCCTCAATAAGGTTTAGAGAAGTTCAGTAAAAGCTGAAAACTTCAGACGCTTGAAAGAAGTAAGCATTAAAAATTCAAATATGAAAGAATTAAGAGGATCTAGTAAAGGACTAAAAAGTCATTAACACTTATTGAAATGAAACACTCATTACTAACACGGTTTTGTCTACTTTAGTATGGCTCAGTATTCAATCAATGAACTCTATCTTAATAACTGATTTATATAAAATTCTTAATTTAATATATAACAAAAAAGTATCCAATTAAAGACCTCAACTATTAAATTTAAGTTTCAACTTTTAAACTTAAATATTTATCTGAAGGGGAAGAACAAAAAAGAGACGAAACACTTAATTAATTGACATATATGTATTTATTATCAAATCTGTACATATTATTCAATATAGCTAATTTTTATTCTTATTATAAATACTATTATTAATTATTATGAAATGTCACAAGTTGAAATCATGAGTCAATTGAAGCTAGACCACCATGGAAAACCTGGAAGTACTGGACGGCCGTTTCGTCCAACTTCGTGGATTGGTTGAAGTTAGACATTAACACCGTTGAATGCCGGCTCAGTGGTCTAATGGTTAAGTGCTCGCGAGCAAAAACAGTAGGTCTTGGGTTCGAATCCCTCGAGGTGCGGGGTCGTGGATGCGCACTGCTGAGGAGTCCCGCATCAGGACGAAACGGCCGTCCAGTGCTTCCAGGTTTTCCATGGTAGTCTAGCCTCAACTGACTCATGATTTCAACTTGTGAAATTTCTAAAAATCTCCACAAAACCAATCGTGATAATATTATGAAATGGTTTATTTTTCTTTGAGTCGTTTTTATTCTTTTCTTTGTTACTATCACTTGTATTTAAAATGAAATAAATGACATCAGGTTGAAAGTTTCTAAGGTTATGATATATCACTCAATGTTTATCATCGTCCTCATCATCATCATTATCATCCGCATATAATACATGAATGTACTGTATAATGTGTAGAATTAAATTGTATCAATATGGGTTGGTTTTAATACCCATAAATATTGTATATATGTTTAAAGTCAATGATTTAAATGAAGATAATAATGATTTGTATGATTTAATTAAACAATTAAAGTAAACACATTTAGTAAGTGTTTGAATAAATAGTAACATGGATTGTTTTTTTTACGTAATATATATATATATATATAGATGTGTGTATGAAAAGAAGAATATTGATAATTGTAATAGTGAATATAATTAGTCAATTTCATAAATTATCACGTCATGGTTTTATATTGACTATGTACACATAAAGGAGATTGGAATGTAAAATCCACAAATATTTGAGGATAATGACAATTGACAGATAATTCCTATTTAAAACATTAAAATTAAAACACGAATTTCAGTGAAGGGATCTCTTTTCAACGAATTTATTAACAAACTGTACAATCGTATATATATGAAAATTTTGTTTTTGTAAAAGTACGAAGTCCGTGAGGAAATGTGAACACAGTTAATAAAAAGGGTTATAATCCTTGATTACGCAATAGGAATAGTAACAATAACAATAGACTTAGTGATTATAATAAGATGGTTAAAATGTTTTTGTTATAATAATAATTAAAGGTCATAGAGGTGTAAAAATAAATAAATATGGTGATATGATGAGTATTCACCAATAAAACAATGAGAATATAAGACATAAGTAAAGGGGGAATGGAGTAATAATAATAATAATAATAATAATAATAATAATAATAATAATAATAATAATAATAATAATTGGATAATCAAAATACTTAAGGCCAAGGTAACGATAAGACGTACTTCTTTTGTACGCATAGTTCTGGTTTAAGCTCCTGGATGGTAAGAGCTTCGGCTATTTTTTAAAAGTTGGATGCGAAGAAATATGGGTAGATTTGAACAAAAACAAAAATTTTCATATATATACGATTGTACAGCTTGATAATAAATTCGTTGAAAAGAGATCGCTTCGCTGAAATTCCTGTTTTAATTATAATGACAATTGTAAATAATCAATATAATTGCTAAGATAGATTAAAGACCCTAATACTAATGAGAAAAAAGTCGAGCAGATTTTAAAGGCTTTATTACTTATGTTATAAGAATTATCGAAGACTAAAGATTATGATCTTCTAATTGTATACCTTCTCTGTTAGTCAATGAACAAAAATGCATACCGCCAAAATGGAGGATTTGTTGCTACAAATTTTTTAGTTAAATCATATAGGAAAAAAGAAATATCAACCTATGTCTCTTTTCTGTAAGTATGATTAGTCAGTTAACATTGGTAAAGAACTTCACTAATATTATAATATATAATTTTAAAAGGTTAATATTAATTTGAAGTTTGTATTGTATTCCATTATTTGATAAATATAATTGTATGCATTAAATATGCTCAAACATAATTCGGCAGATATATAATTCAGCGTTGTGATCGATTGATTAATTGATAGATTACTCCTCTGACTAATCTCAGTTAGACAACAACTGGGAACTAAGAAGCACTAGACAGCCGTTTTGTTTAAGTACGAGATTTTTTAGCAATATATACTAGTCGCGATCATTGTATAATATCAGTTGTGAAATTCAATAAGT